GAAAAATATCTGGTCGAGGCAGGAATCGAACCCACGGTCTTCCGATCGTGAGTCGGGAGTACTATCACCGCGGCCAATTCCACAACAATATCTAATATATCTACCAGAAGACAAATGGCATTTTAATATCCATTTGTTCTTTAACCCTTAATCCGTACTATATAAAATGGTAAACAAAACTTTCTATTCAATTAGATATAGGAATAATATACTTTGTCTAATTTCCACTTACTTAATGTATTGATATTAATACGACCAAGGTTTCGGTTTTCACACCATTCTCAAGTGTTCTAGCATTGGTCGTATTAATATCAATACATTAATACAAATACAAAATAATACGACCAAGGTTACGGTTTTAACACCATTCTCGAGTGTTCTAGCACTAGTACTACTAGTAGTTTCCAGTTTCAAACAAAGAGGAATGGATACAATGAATATTTTGAGATTACAGCTCGACTCCAGGTTCAAAAATGATAAATAAAAAATTACAGAATCCTTAAAATTATGTCAAAAATATTGAGACGTTTGAACAAAAAAGATCGCCTTTTTTCTGCCAATCTTCTTCTGAGACAATGAAATTTTGGTCGTTTTTTTACAATATGTAAAAGATCACTTAATATATATTCTGCCCATAACACAACTTTTCCATTCCCAATAAGCGGTATGCAGATATTATAATGCGGTTGGTAGTGATTTGAAAATATTTTCGCTTCTTCTGGCCCACCTGTGTCTTATTTTCACTTTCGTTATAATTAGCTTCCTACTCCAAGATAGTTTTTCTNATATTGGTGATAGAGTTCCGGGAGGTGGGACTTTTTTAGGAAATTTCCTTTTCTATAAGGATCTTTTTTTAAATTTTGGATAGCTTTAATATTTTCCGAGATACCAAACCCCCCTTTTTTTACTAAATCATTTATAACTTTTGCAATTTTTTCAAGCCCCTCCGAGGTCATTCCGAATCGAATAAGCTCTGGATCATAATTTTTGGTGCCCTTGGACTGAAGTTCTAAAAAAAAGATCTTGTGACCCAGACAAGTCTCCAGAGGCTCCAATGAATTCAAGATTTGTTTCAAGTCACCAAAATAGGCCTCATGTTAAAAGTGAGGTTGTTAAGTTGAGCCTAACAGACTCTCATTAGTTGAAAAGAAAATTTAATGGTCGTCATTACCAGATTTAATTACCCAGACCCCCTTTCTGCCTCCCCTCACAATCCCAAACCGCGCACCTGTTTCTGAACTTACGGTGTAGGCACCTACATAAAACAATATTCTTCGACCGTTCTTCATTCTTCATTTTTGTCTCCGACAATCTCTCCAAGCTCGTAGATAGCGGAAATTATTCAGGCGAAAACGATTTTGCCCTGAAGGAAGTGCAAATACAACCCATTAAAAACCAGCCTGATCGACGAATTATTCAATAGTTTCTTACGAGTGTTACAGTTAATTTGACAAAGAGCTGGACTGTGAAAGTGATAGTCGAATTGTTGCTTGTGGCATTTGTAAACCGGACTTCAGTTTGTTGTAAAGTGTTGCTGACGCTGTAACTGGACCAAGACGGGAAAGTGAAGTGATTTTAACGAGTGTTGGTGGTTTACATTGAAGCGTATGGTCAGGTTTCTTTGCATGGTACCTATAATCGTTTGAAATTCACTTGAAATCATTTGTTTCTTCTTGGGAGAAACATTCCGCAAGGTTTCATCATGGTATCAAATAACATATAAAGTTTTACAGATAACAGATATTGATTTGATTGGAAGAACGAACGGGGAAACGTTTGATAGATAGCTTGTTTTCAGAATTGTACCTCTTTTCAAAACGAAGTAAAATTTAGACGATAATCTACATAACAAGTGACTCTTTTGTTTGAATTGCATTCTGAATTACCATTATGAACACACCCATTTAATGTATCGAAAATAATGTTGTATACAATTCATAGCAGTAGTCGAATAATTTTACTTTGATATATTTTTTTATGAATCTTTCAGTATCAATTGCCGAAGCGAAAAACCGAAATTGTCCTTAGATTCAGATTTATTGAGAAGAATAATTCTTAATTGTATTTTTTTTAAGTGATAACACGATCAGTAGAAATTTCATTGGTTCGGAATTCCATCTAATATGATATGAAATGAAATCTCTGAAATAACAAATGGAAATTGAAAATAATATCCGAGAGTAACAATTATATTCAACAAAAAAAACCCTGGAAAGAAATTACAGTAAAATCATCCGAAGACGATTGTGGATAACGAAACGTCGTGGGGTAACTTGGCTTGAT